AATAAAAAAAAAAAAAAAAGTGTCCACATATTTTGATACTACTTTTTGGTATATTTTGTAAATAGTGTAAATTGTCTTGGCCTGCAGTATTCACAAGTTGCAGGCACAATAAAGAGCTGCTTCATAGCTGCTAATCAACAGAAGACATTTGCACGTTTTGTTTCCTGCAATGGATTGTAGGTAAACATCTACTTCATCCAGTGCTCTTTTTGTTTTCTGTTGTATAAAGTATCTATCTGCATGTAAGAAACCTCCTCAAATTATTCAATGTGTGAGTGAGCTGTGTGAATGAATCAAACTGAATCAAGAACAATTTCAGACCTTTTTAAAAACCAGTATATGGTAATCTCGACAGACAAGGATTTACAGTAATATTTTACAGGGACACAGCGATACTTCACTGGGGTTTGTGTCTGAGTAAAAAGGCTGCACTGTACCATAATAGCACTACAATATTTAAACAGTCCTTTGCTTACGACTCCCCCCTTGTTGATGAACAATAAAATTGTCCTGTATCAATCTCAGTTTCAGTGTACGTCTGCTAACAATGGATGGTTCTCTGGTAAACTCTGCAATACCGCTGGTGTCACAAACGGTGGTTTCTCCCGTTACTCAAACCTCCAGCAACTTGAGTAGGAGACCTCGAGACAAACGGAAGACTCCTGCGTTTCTGTCAAACTTGGGCAAGTCTACGTTAAGAGGCATCCGCAAGTGCCCTCAGTGTGGCGTTTACAACGGCACTCGTGGCCTCAGCTGTAAGAACAAGGCCTGTGGAACCATCTTCAGGGATGGGGACCATGGGACTGGACGTTTGAAAAAAGGGGCATGTGAAGTGGTTCAAGTTGTAACAGATAGTGGAGGTGGCAGGGCCGGAGGGCCGCAAGTGTTCTCTGTGCGTCAGCGGGGACGTGGCTCTGAACAACAAGGCTTTGTTGAGTTAGTCCTCACGGATACAGCTATTACTACCGCAGACGGAACCCTGCTGACCCGTGTCAACCTCGGTCGCTGTTACATGCCCTCTTGCCAGCAGAACGAAAGCGAGTCAACAGTTGAAGGTGGCCATCAGCAAGTAACACAACCACCCAAAAGTCCCTGTACCCATGTGAAGCAAGCCATGGAGTGTCAGACCCAAGCGACACCTCTGCCACTCAAGAGCTCTGTGCTCAGCTATTACTACCGCAGACGGAACCCTGCTGACCCGTGTCAACCTCGGTCGCTGTTACATGCCCTCTTGCCAGCAGAACGAAAGCGAGTCAACAGTTGAAGGTGGCCATCAGCAAGTAACACAACCACCCAAAAGTCCCTGTACCCATGTGAAGCAAGCTATGGAGTGTCAGACCCAAGCGACACCTCTGCCACTCAAGAGCTCTGTGCAGGAGGCCCTGGTGGCCACTTCCCAGGCCAAAGAAGAGTTGTGGAGGCTGGCTACAGAGACACAGGGACCTCTAGTGCAGAGGGCTTCTAAAGGGACCCTAATAGTGAAGTGCCAACCAGGTGAAGCCCACCCTCTGGGACTGCTGCATCTGATGGTGGGCTTATCTGGTGTTAAAGACAAGACTGTGGGTGCGGCTCCTTTTCAATGTGCATGTTATGTACCTAATACCAAGGGGGATTTGGGGGCGAGAAGTGGGGGTCAGTCTAATATCAACGATGGAGAAAATTCCCACCAGCATAATTTACATGAGCACTGCCTCCATTTCTATGCTTGCGTTTGTGCCTTCACAAGTGATGAGAAGCTGGCCTCTGAGTTTTCAGCTTTCCTCAACTACAACATGAATGGTAAGTCCACCAGTTAGGTCCTAGGTCTTGAACCCTGCTTCTGGATACCCACTGTCCTGCAAAATTAATTTCCAACCTGCTTCAGCTCCCCTGGACTGTGATATTTGAATTGATCCAGAAGAACTTGGTTATTTGGTTCAGGTGTGTTTGATTAGGGTTGTAGCTAAACTCTGCAGGACAGTGGGTTACCAGTAGAGGGTTGAAGACCTAGGATTTAGGTTGTCACCTTATGTGCACCTGCACATAAGCTCTCTTCTAAAACCTAGTGCAGTGGTTCTCAATTCCAGTCCTGGTGACCTACCGCTCTGCACATTTTGTATGCTTATCTAACACGCCTGATTCAGATCATCAGCTCATTAGGAGAGATCTCCATGAACTGAACTGAATGTGACAGAGAAGAGAGAAATACAAAATGTGCAGAGCAGTGCGTTGCCAGAACCAGAATTGAGAACCACTGACCTAGTGAGCCTAATTTCTGTCTACTGCAGTGGTGTCCAAACATGTTCCTGAAGGGCCACTTTAGAGCTAAACTCTGCAGGACATTGGCCCTTCAGGAGAAGGATTGGGCACCTTTTGTTCAGTGGTTCTTATCTCTGGTCACGAGGACCCAATGTTCTACACATTTTGTATGTCTCTTTTATATGGCACACTTATTTCAGTTCATCTAGCTCTCTCCTAATGAGCTGATGATCTGAATCAGGTGTTATAAATAGGCAAGACATACAAAATGAGCAGAGCAGTGGGCTTGTAAAGAGTTGAGATCCAATGCCCTAGTCCAGGGGTTCTCAACTCTGGCCCTCGAGATACACTTTCCTGCAGAGCCCCAACCTTGATCAAACTCACCTGCCTGTAACTCTCTAGTAATCCTGAAGACCTTGATTAGCTTGTTCAGGTGTGTTTGAACAGGGTTGGAGCAAAACTCTACAGGAAAATGGATCTCGAGGGCCAGAGTTGAGAACCCTGGCCCTAGTCTACTGCCTAAAATAGGCAGAGTTAGCCAAGCTTACTACTGGAGGGCTACCTCTGCTCTAAGGTTGCATCCGAAACCAGGTTCCAAAAGTGACAGATTTGGAAAGCTCTGCAAAGAAAGCAACTTGTGAAGTACAAAAATAGTGCTCCTTAAGTGAAGTGCACAGCAAATGTGACTGAATTGTTTCCAGTAGATTTTGATGTTACCATGAGCTAGGCTAACAACATTCTAATAAACATTAAAATGCATAGTACACAAATATATTTTCAGACTTAACTTTTTAAATTGGATGAAGTCCATGAATTAGAAGATAAACTTTTTATTGATACTTTTTGATACAGAATGAAATATATATTAGTAATTTCCTCTCAACATTTTTTTTTCACCTCTATACTGCAGGTGATATTCACAGTCCATTCTGGAATTGCTTTCGCCATTAGGGATACATGCGTTGCTTCTATAGTTCTTGGCCAGAATTAGCTGTATTAGAGAGTATACTATTCTTGCATTTGTGTCAAGAGCACACCTATGATGACTAAAAGTGTTGTCTAGTTAGGGTTCACAAGAGGTTTGGAACAGGTCTATATATAGTGTATTGATTGTTTATTTATGTATCAGAGATGACTGTGAGAATTATTGCGCATGTCCAGGACTGCAGGAGAGGGCAGATGCCACAACGCTCAGTATACCTGAGGCTCAGCAGCACATTGAGCCTTCCATCTCTCATCGTCCCAAGAGACTCAAATTTGTGGAGTCCTCTACTGGTAAGTTAAAGCTCATGGACAGGCCACACAGAATGAGTAACCTCCGACCGACTGCACAAAGGCCACTGTTGCCAAGCACTTTCATTGAAAATGGCTAAATTAGCATACGTTAGCATTAATTAGCATATTCATGTCATTGCATTGTATTTTAATTATGCCTAGTGTCAATCCTTTACTTCCATTTGCTTCTCTTCTACTCTGTAGTTTAAAGGGGTCATATGATGCGATTCGGAAGATTTGCATAACGCCACCCAAATGTTCACGCAAAGAAAGAAGGCATGACTTTTATTCTCTCTGTAGTGTTGCCACCGCCGCCATGTCGTGAAGGTGCTGTCTGTTTTGTTGTGAAAGCGAAACTACTTTGTTTGGCCTTCCAAAAGAGGACGATATCGCTTCGTCATGCCTGGAGCTGATCCGTGCTGGTCGCTGAGGAAATACATCAACTTCGTGCTGTGGATCGCCGGATCAGCTTTCACCATGGACGAAGCGGAGTCCAGCCCGGGGTCGTCACATGTGGTTGCCACAGGCATCACAATATGGTAAGGGACGTAACATTTCCGTCACACACTTGAGGGCAATTTGTCCACATGAGGGAGAATTAGGCCTTATTAGGACAAGTAGCAAAAATGTGATGACTCAAATATTCTCCAATTTTTGTAATTAATAAAATAAAATAAACACATGAAATCTGATTTTTAGCTAATTTGATTCTTATCCCCATTATATATGGTTTGAAACTGGATTAAAATAAATATTTTTGGAAAAGTGTTTCAGATTTGATTTCAAGTGGTTTATTCAGGATGCGGCATGCTTTTAAAGTCCCCATGAAATCAAAATTAAAGTTTTTTGGGTGTTAGTATCAATATGTTAGTCTTAAGGTTATCTATAAGGCAGTGTGCTCCAAAACAGTGACAAAATTCGCATTTAGAAGATATAAGCATTCAAAGCTTTCAGTTCGTCACTTCGATTTTTTTGACGTCACATCGTACTTCAGCTTCTCATCAAACTTTCTCTCCAATCAAATGCTCTCTAGAATCCGAAGCGCCCGCTCCCTACACTATAAAATAGACCCTGAAGCCACGGCTGAAATCGGTCACTTACAGTGAATGGCACATAGTGCACTATATAGGGGACAGGGAACGATTCAAACTAGGGGACAGGGAACGATTTTGAGGAAAAAAAGAAGTCTGGTTTCGCGCTGTGTCACGCTAACCACCGCACCGCACACACACTCTGCTCCGGTCCAGAGACACGATAGCACGGAGCAGATCACATGCGCGAGTCGGCGCAGACCACAAAATGTATCGGAGCTATTTGAATTCTACACAGAATGCTATATTTTATAGCAATATGGATGAGATTGTCGCTGGCATACCCTGTCAAATGCGGCTTTACGGAGCTCAACGGCTCTGAACGGCTCTAGCCCAAGCTACGATATAAACGAACGCTATTGGCTATTTTAAAAAGGGGCGGGGTTGCTTGATATGTCCCGCCCTGTCTTCCTGTTTCAGTTAAAATGACATCAACACAGAGTAACGCTGCCCGATCACAAATGCAGACAGAGTTTTATGTTTACGCGGCGCGATACAATGCAACGCGTAAAAAGACAGTATAAGTCATATGTAATTATGTCCCCACTGGATGCAACAAATGCCTGGTCTTTGTTTGGATCAGTTTTGATACTGAAGGATATTATGTAAACAGGAAAGCCAGAGCCGCTGGTGTTCCACATCTCACAGGCTTTCTTCAACGCCTTACAGCAGCGTTTATCATTGGGCTCAAAGAAGAGAAGACTACCCAACTACACCACCAGTGAGTAATATCTGTATTCATTAGTATCTAACCTTATATTAATAATGTCCTAACAGTCTAATCTGATTACAAATATTGTTACACCTAGTTTTAATATTTTGTAATTTGTGCGTTTTTAGCTTTTGTGCGTAATGACGCTTTGCCTCTGGGCTCTTTCTCTAAATACACCTGGCACATTACCAACTTGATGCATGTGAAACGCATCTTTGATACCCCAGAGGTGTGTGCTCGTTTTCTCCCTGATGCATCAGATCTTCACTAATGGCCATAGCATCTGTGGGCAATCTCTAAACGAATGCACTCTGTTTGTACAGTTACCTTTTGAACTCACTCAGAGTTTTGTGAAGAACAGTGACGGCTCCTATTCACCGTACCGCTTTCGGGAAACCCCTCCTGATCCTGCATCAGACACCTGCCACCATTCACGCACCAATAAGCCTCTGGCCATCAGACCACTGGAGCTACGTACCTTCCTCAGAGTGGGTAAGTGCATCTATTCACTTATTATGAAGTCGGATTTATCGGTCCTGGTTTTGTGCCAAATCATATTCCCCTATCAATTCTCATCCCCAACTGGACCGAAAGTGATTCCACTGGCTACAAGAACTGTTCCCCCTAACCAGTCCCCCCCTTCACAAAAAAAAAAAATAAAAAATTAAGTAAAATAAAACTTTATATACATTGTTGCGCTGCAGGACTGCCATGGACAGCTGACCCTGTGTGGTGGTCAGTTCACACCAGTGACAGAAATTAATCTTTTCCAACAAGTTTAAAATGATTTTTACCCTTTATGGGCATTTTTAGCTTTGTTTTTTACCATTTTGTTTTCTAGAAGTATGTGAAATTCTTACATTTGATCAATAAAGTCAATCAAAATAATAAGACATTTGGGGCTGTTACCAAGCAAATAAATCATTATCAACAAAGTTCATGCACTGCAGAGGAAACACAGAAGCTGCATGAAGTGGCATTTAGATGCATATACACACTGTTTAATGCAAGACATGAATGCTTTAACCTGCAGTTACAAATTCATAAATACTGTTTTGATATTTTAATCCTAAAAGGTTGAATACTGATATTTGAAATTATTTAAAAAATTTATATAAAAAGGTACTTTAAATGTGAAATTAAAACCGCCAGTAGGTGGCAGCAAGTCACTGTTAATAAGAGAGTCATTGCTATTAAACCGAATCATTCAAACGGTTGATTCATTCAGGAACGAAACACTGTCATGTTGCTCAGAGATGCAAAACAGTGCCGTGGCTTTGTTTGGAACCATTTTTGTTGGCGAAAAAGAGCAAAAAATAGGCAATATGGTGTCTAAAACGTAAGTCTCTTAATATTAACTTCTTGTTTATTGAACTGTTGTATAAAATCAATATCACATTTGTGATTTTTGCAAAAAAAATGGCACTCTTCATTTCAACTATATGAAATGATATAAATATATAAATTTTCTGTCCCCATATCTTGAATTTTGGGAGCATTCTAAATGCATTTTATTGTACTGAATCATGCAGTGAAAGAACACACTCTAAATGAGCATTCAGTCTAGCTAGTGTTTAAGCATTCATAACTCCTCTGGACCCACTTTATATTAAGTGGCCTTAACAACTATGTACTTACATTTAAATTAATAATTTGGTACAATGCACTTATTGTGTACATACATGTTTTTACATTGTACTTATATTTTAAAAATACCTGCATGTAATTACATCTGTAATTAATTTCTGTAATTACATTTATAATTACACAGTTGACCCATCCCTTACACCTTAACCCACCCTTAAACCTACCCATACCACCAAACCTGTCCCTAACCTTACCCACATCTCACCTCAATAGCAGCAAAAGTGTTTTGCAATACAATATGAACACAATAAGTACATTGTACTTAATTTTCGATGTAAGTATATAGTAGTTAAGGCCACTTAATATAAAGTGGGGCCACTCCTCTTATAATCAATTAAGCTGTCCATGCACGGTATGATAAATGAATCTCTAACTTACATCGTACATATATCTACACTTTGTTGCTTATGATGAGGGAATTCGCGAGTTTCAGTCTGAACAAAACTCTGGGGTTTCAGCGATGACTAATCTGAATGCCTCTGATTGGCTACTGCATTCTTAAGCTCAACAGAATCGTGTGTGATTGGTTATAATGAGCAACGCTGTAAAAACGCGTAAAATAAAATATGATGTAACATAAGCAGGCCTAAATTTAATACAGCAATCGAAACTTCATTTTAAGTATTAAAGTTTTATTGAAAAACCAGGGGACCCCCCAAGTAAATTTTTTTGGGTGTTATGGGGGTCCCTGCTTATGGCATTAAGGGACCAATTGGAACACTGCTTTTAAATTCCCGATTTAACATTCTACAAAATTGCTTGTTGTTGTATGTAGTTTTAACCATAGATATGCATAGGTAGATACCACATTAGACCGTTCCAGACACGTTGACGTGTCCGCCAACTTGGAGCGGTCAATATGTCGTCACTCAGTTAAAATCAATGAGTTTTCCAAGATGCCACAATATTGCACAGCCTCTGGTTGCAAAAACTGCTGAAATTTTAATTCCCGAAGGTATGGGATAAAGTTTTACAGGTGAGAATCTGTTGGTTTGTGTTTTTAATATGAATTAACTCAATGTGTTACAGGTTTATAAACTATGGCAACTTTTTAATGTTGTGTTGACTAACGGTTTCGTCTTGTTGTGTTGGTTTAACAAAATCATCTGCTTAAGTCTATTGCAGATACAGATATTCATACATAGGTTTAACTACAGTTGCAGACCCACTGTCAATTTGCTTTTGAGTATTCACGACTTTGACCATTCAGTATGGTGGACGGCTTACGTATTGTGGCCCATAGAAACAGCCTAATAAGGCATCTACTGTATGTATACATATCTATGGTTTTAAATTAGCTATCACAAAGCAACAAATGAGCAAACATTTTTCATAAATCATAGCATAGCGAATTGTATGCTCTGGGCAGTAAATATCATAAAACCCTGTTTTCTGTTCAAATATGAGATTGATATTTAGAAATGTTTTAAGCACCACAAAAGAAATATTCTACATTATATTCATTGCAATATCCAGGTAAATCCAGAAGTACAAAATACAGCACTTTCTGGAATACTTTCTGTGGAAGCCATGTTTCCACCATATTTGAAGATAATCATGCTTTGGTAAATCATAATTATGACCAGTGTTGGGAAGGTTACTTTGGAAATGTAATAGGTTACAGATTACAAGTTACCCTACTTAAAATGTAATAAGTAGTGTAACCGTTTAATTACTTTATTAAACTAATGTAACTTATTACATTTGATTACTTTTTGATTACTTTTCTAAATTTCTAATGTTTTCAACTGTTAATCATTTTCAAACATGTAAAGCAGGCAGGGTTAAACTTGCAATATGTGCTCAACGCTGATAACTGTCAGACTTTCGAAATCCTTCATCACTTGAATTAATATTATATTTCAAGTAGACATTGGATGCAAAATTCACTTTAACATGGTGTTTGCATATAAATGTATCTTAGCAGTGTGTAGACACAACCACCCTACAATGATAAAAACTACATTCCTACATTCACTCCCTTTTTTAATCCCCCAAAATCCTAAACCTTCTACCTTCAATACCACGACTGAGGTGAGACCCTTGAGCAAGGCACCAAACCCCAAACTTTGTTGGTGTGTGTTTACGGTGTGTGTGTGTTTCACTGCTGCGTGTGTGCACTTGGCTGGGTTAAATGCAGAGCACAAATTCTGAGTATGGGACACCATATTTAGCCACGTCAATTCAATTCACTTTCACTAAATTTGTTTATGTCTGGCTGCGCAAATCAATTGTGATAGGACAGATCAGACATGACAGGAAGTGAAGTGGGAGAAAGAGAGGAGGGGGGCAGGATCAGGAAGGTTCTCTAGTCGGGATTCGAACACAGAACCAAATACACAAAATAATGTTCTTTTTAGCAGCATCATATGACCCCTTTAAAGTTTGCAATACAGCACCGGACATACAGATGTAAAATATTTATCATATACTTATAAAAAAAAATACAGTGTGAACGTAGTTTTGTGCTGTACAATAAGATCCGATTTCTCCATTTCTTGTTTTCAGAAATCATGTACATTGATTTTTTGTGTTTACATGTAAATGCAGAGAAACAGAGGGTATTGAGAGAATGCTGTATTCAGACTGATGAACTAAAAATACTCATATTAAAAGCCTATATTTGCTGGTAGACTGCATCATTTTGTGAGTGTTTCTCTCCCACACACGTATATTACACAAACTCATATATTAGTGAGGACATTGCATAGACTTCCATTGATTTTCTATCAGATTAATGATATTTTCTGTCCCCAACCCAAGTCCACTCACCGTGCAGTATAGTTGACGTGTACCAAATGCTTTGACACGAGTCTCAGGTTAATTAACTTGTAACGCGTGTGAGAGGTCACGTCCTCTCAGTTGTCCGAATTTGCACAGTGTGTGCCCAGTTTTAGGGCCTGATATTTTAATGTTTTCAGCAAGAACACCCTGTTCACTACCACCAACTATACTCTATTGATGGCCAATCCTATATTCAGTACAGTCAAGCTTTACCCATCAAAGGGAGTAAATGTTTGTCTGCACTGAGCAAAATCTTCACCACCAATGTCACTATTAAGAGAAAAGTAAATTGGTATAAACTTTGTTCTTTGTTAGTTGCAAGGGACTCTACAACAGATTTAAGGATAATGTACAATGGAATAGTACATCAAATGAGATGTTAGTAAATAAGCATTGACAATTATCCAAGCGGGGTCCTGTCCTTTTAATCTGGGGGCAGTTGTGGCCTAATGGTTAGAGAGTCAGACTTGTAACCTGAAGGTCGTGGGTTTGAGTCTCAGTACCGGCAGGAATTGTATGTGAGGGGAGTGATTGACCAGCGCTCTCTTCCACCTTTAATACCCACAACTGAGGTGTTCACCTTGAGCAAGGAACCGAACCCCCAACTGCTCATCAAAAGAACAGTTTAAAGAAAACAATTTGGTCTCTTAAACATTTAAAATGATTTAGGGCTTAAACAGTCACATGATGAAAATTATTGGATGAGATAGCAATCAAACTTTATTTCACATTACCAAACAAAATGCCACAGGTCTCTCCGATGCATTAGAGGCACGCTTTAGTAGCAGTCTTCAGCTACAAAATCAATAGCGTGACCAAACCACTGTTCCAGGCTGTGGGAAAACAAAAGCATGAAAAACAATGGACATGATTTTTACATTGTCAGAAGGAATATCATGACTGGAGTATAAAACTACAAGTATGAGTTTTAGTTAAAGGGGTCATTGGATGCCCATTTTCCACAAGTTGATGATTCTTTAGGGTCTTAATGAAAAGTCTGTAACATAGTTTGGTTAAAATTTCTCAATTGTAGTGTAAAAAAAACACCTTTGTTTACCCTGTCAAAAACAGCTCTTTCAAAGCAAGCGGTTTTGTAGCATTTTCCTTTAAATGTTAATGAGCTATGCTGACCCCGCCCCTCTCTGAGGGACTGTTTACTTCGCATTCATCGTGAAACTTGCTAATTAGTACATTAGGAAAGGCGATTTGCAAAGATTCATAAAAAATAAAAAAAAACTTATACTCACTTCTGTAGGTGAAGCTGGATAACGAATGATTCGGTCAAACATGACGCATTTATGTAGATCGGGGGCACATTCTCTTCAAAAATAAACGTAATCCACTGCATCTTCAGCGGCTCAGATGTCGGGAGTAAATGATGACTGCTATGTTCATTATGAAATCAAACAACAGAACACCTCAATCGCTCAGGAGACATTCTTACATCTGCTCCAGTGGTGAAAAATGGTGGATTGATGACAGCTCACTCAGGACAGGTCTAAGGTAAGATGCCAGTCCAGTCTGTGCTGAAACGCTACTGTCAATCAAACTATCATGGGAGGGGCCTGTTTTTGTGACATCACACAGACAGGCATATGAAATCGGCTCAATTTGAGAAAGGGGTAAAGAATTTAGCAGATAAAAAAAAAAAAAAAAGTGGATTTTTCATTATAGGGTGGTTGCATACACACTGCCAACACACATTTCAGTTCAAACAACTCGTAAAAGTGCATGTAGCATTCAATAACCCCTTTAACATAGTATTAAAGGAATGATTCCCCTAAAAACTAAAATGTGCTTACCATCAGACCATCCAAAACTGTTAATATTTTCATTAGAACAGATTTGGAGAAAATTTTGCCTTGCACTCACTCACCAGTGGATCCTCTGCAGTGAATGAATGGGTTACATCCTATCTAGGGATTGTAAAGAAAAACCCTTGGAGGTCTTCACTCCTGTCCCAGTCAACAAGCACCACACAAATTTGATAAGCATTTGTTCATTTATTGAGTCATTTAAAAATGAAGCATCATTTAAAAAGGAAGCAGCAAGAAAACTTCAAGAGGACACCAGGCCAAAATAACAAACAAAAGGAAGACTAAATGTGGAAAGAACAAACTTACAGAAAGAAAACAAAAACGGTTTTTACCTCACTCCCTATCTAACCAAAAACAGGAGAAAACACGATTAAGCAAAGTAAAAGGAATCCACCGCTCTACTGCTTCAAAAAACAAAACAAAAAAAAAACTCAAAAGTCAAATTATAAACAGATCTGCATTTAGTTCACAAAAGAAACACTTAGTAGCACATATTCAAGACTGCAGGCTCTCACATCAGTCTAAAAAACACATAGGCTCAACAATCACACACCGGGAAGAAGGAAGAAATGTTCTCAGCTTCGTGACTTTCCACCTCATCTTTATCCACCAGCTCCCATCTCGTCAGCCAATCAGGTTACCCCAAAAACTTGATTTTAAGTAGGCACAGCTGATGTCCGTAACTGGCTGAAGGGATGACAGAGAGAGAGAGAGAGAGAGAGAGTACAACAACACAAAACAAAGTACAACCATATTGCACAAACAAAAAGAAATGGTGACACACACATCCACAGATGTAAACAGAGAATTAAACATACGTCCTGGGACATAACAAATGGGTGTCATCAGAATGAGAGACAAAACAGCTGCTTATATAACATTACAATGATACACAAGTAATCCACACGATACGTCCATCAGGTAATGTCTTGTGAAGCAAAGGCTGCATGTTTGCAATAAATCTATCTTTAAGATGTTTTTTAACTTCAAACCATTGCTTTCGGCTATAATACATGTCCTCCATATCCCATATATCCATAATAATGCTTTTTTTTCAAGTCAGATTATTCAAATATGCACAGAAATAGCTGTCTTTTCCTAAATGTAAATATGTTTTTCATTAAAAGAGTTCCTCTAAAGAATATATGATCGTTTCATTTTCTTCATAACCGATTTATGTTCATCATAACTTTATCATATGGTAGTGAGTGTGAAAATGACTGTGTGCAAAGTGAAGTGGTGTGAAAGACCAATAAACCAAATCCCACTTGAGCTACAAAAAATGCCAAAACAAAACATTTCCATACTCGATCTTTAATTCATTATCTTTCCATTTTTTTGTCAAATGGGTATGGTATGAATGAGAAGAACCATAGTATTTACTATCTGATACTGGCACATAGGATCTCAATAGCTCTGTATTACACTGCAGTATCAGCAGTTCTGAACAATTATGTCTAATTGCCTGGGAATCTGTTTACTCCCTAAAATAATTAGTTTAATGGGTTTTTACTTTGTTTTGCAGATGTAACCTGATGATTGTTGTCTCCAGAAATAAATGAAATTCACCATAGAATTTTCACTTGTTATTTTTAGGAATAGTAGGTACGGTACACAGTACAGTATTCTAGTATTAAAGGGGTCATATGATGCGATTTCAATTTTTCCTTTCTCTTTGAAGTGATACAAGCTCTTGGTGCATAAAGAAGATCTGTAAAGTTGCAAAGACTAAAGTCTCAAATCCAAAGAGATATTCTTTATAAAAGTTAAGAGTCAACCACGTCTACGTCACGATGTGGGAAGATTTGCATAACGCAACCCAAATGTTCACGCAAAGAAAGAAGGCGTAACTTTTATTCATGAAGGCGCTGTGTTTCGTTGTGAAAGCGAAACTACTTTGTTTGGCCTTCCAAAAGAGGACGATATCCGCTTCGTCATACCTGGAGCTGATCCGTGCTGGTCGCTGAGGAAATACAACAACTTTGCGCCGTGGATCACCGGATCAGCTTTCACCGTGGACGAAGCGGTGTCCAGCCCGGGGTCGTCACATGTGGTTGCCACAAGCCCACCGGATGCTCCTTCGTCGAATTTAATTTCTCCGATCACAAATGCAGACATGGTTTTATGTTTACAAAGCGCCGCGTTTCAGAAAGGCGGGGCATAGAGGAGAAACAATAATGTACAGTATGTGGAAAATCATGTTTTTTGAACCTTAAACCACATAAACACATTTCATTACACCAAATACACAAAATAATGTTCTTTTTAGGAACATCATATGATCCTTTTAAACCAGCCCAGCATCGTACATAATCCTCCTGTCCAACAGATGGCGCTAATGACCGTCCAGCCTGCATTACTATGTGTCTGCGAAGGAAGGAAGGACTGGCAGCTTAGAAAATAAACAAAAGACGAGCTCAGATTGCTAAATGTTTTTGAGGTTAACTAAACTCTTTTAACTACGCTTTTGCGGTCTTTAGGTTGATCTATCAGCAAGGGCTGTCCGGCCATGAATCCCAATCTATCGCTGCGAGTGAGCGTCTTCTCCGAACAAGGAGGCAGGAAATACATGGAGGATTTAACGGAGGTGATCGTGGAGCTGGAACCCAGCGACGATGAGCTGCGTGCGGCCGGGCACACCGATCCAAAGCCGGACCAAGAGCCAGTCTCTGAAAGCGACCCGCCGGGCTGCACAAACAAGCCATTACCCGTCATGGTAACGTGGAGAAACACGTTGTCCGCCGACGAGAGTGACGGTACCGAGGAGCCCGGGACTCAGCCGGCGGCAGCGGACAGCAGGAGATCGGTCGCGTTCTTCGCCGTGTTTGACGGCCACGGAGGTCGAGAGGCTGCGCTGTTCGCTCGAGATCATCTCTGGGATTTTCTCAAGAAGCAGCGGGGCTTTTGGTCGAAGGATTACCGGAAAGTTTGTGCCGCAATTCGCAAGGGTTTCATCGCATGCCATCATGCAATGTGGAAAAAGCTTCGTAAGCCAATTCAAGCCTATTTTCCATAGTGAATGGTGTGACGTTTCCTGACATTAGTGCCCTTTTTTAAATGTCTAACTACGTTGTGAGTAAGTTAGCTGGGAGTAAATGGTTTTGATGATCGGTAGTGACCTAAGACCTCAAGGCAATTTATATCGACTGAAATCGCATGCGTGTTGGAATTATTATTATGGTAAGATGGATAACGATGGGGCTGCGATTGTGTAAATTAGGTGTCGGGCTAATACACGTTTTGAAATTGGGCGCCACGCTATCTACTTACTGCAGAAAAGACGAAAAAAATCGAATGGAAAGGTCGCAGTGCGCATGCGCGGAATCTTTGCACTCTGTGTGTGTGTGTATTTACTTATTAGACGGACAGAGAGCACGTCTATATAAAACTGTTGCAAACCTTTACACACTTTTAAAGGTAATAAGCAAATGCATTATATAATCGAAACCCGTTTCCACCACAGTTGAGTAAAAATACTCAAATAAAAATTCTGTAAGTCATAATAACGACAAACTTTCTCATAGTTGTGACTTATAGTACCCCATTATATCGAGAAACTGTACCATAATTATGTACTTTGTATATCAGAATAATGATTAACGTTCTCATAAGTATCTCATCATTAATTTGATGTTATAATATTTCGAAAAAGAAATCGCATTATTATGGCTTAACATCTGGTAATGAGAAACTTTCTCATAATCACTTAACATCTCATAATAATGAAAACGTTTTTCACAATGAGATTCTTTCTCATGATAACATCTCATGAGAAACTTTCTCATAATAATGGCTTAGTATCATAAGAATGACGAACTTTCTCAAAATAACCACTAAGTGTCTCATTTTAATGAGACTTTCTCAAAATAATGACTTAGTATTACATAATAATGAGAAACTTTCTGCTAGTTATTATTTAATGTACGCATGCGCAAAGCAACAGACTAAGTTGCTAGTGACATCTGCTGGTCAAAGCCGTGTAAACACACAGAAAACGTGGCAGGGTCTGCAAAGCTGTTGTTTTCATTAAAGGGGTCATATGATGCTGCTAAAAAGAACATTATTTTGTGTATTTGGTGTAATGAAATGTGTTTATGCGGTTTAAGGTTAAAAAACACATTATTTTCCACATACTGTACATTATTGACTTGTTCGGCATTGCTGGGAACGCCCACAAAAACGTCATAACCGTTTATGCTGTGGGGGAAAACAAACCATTCGAATTAACGCGCGAAGACCTTGTTAGGCGCTTGATCTTTACTTTTTGTGATGATTTCGATTGATTTTTGCTTGGTGCAATGCCGAAAAGTTGCTGCGTGGCGTTCTGTACCTCTAATAAGTTACAAAACCCGATCTAAAGATTTATATGCCGAATAAACAGACGGACTACCGGAGGTAGCACTGAGCGGGTAGCACACATTATCAGAACTCCGACAGTAGTTATGGATATACAACGTATGAAACATATCAAGCTTAATATTCATATTTATATGCACTCCAGATTGGCTACACTACTTACCTTGCAATCATCTGTCATTAGTCCCGTCCCCCTGCACCGCAACCCAGTTCTGATGGGGCTTACAGTAACCCTCCTTCGCATCACAATCAAATAAATCTCCCTGATATTCATATTATTATACACAATCACTTACAAAAATTAGCAATGGTATTACTATAATAAAAGTATAGTAGGCTAATCATATTTTTTTTTTTGGCGTTTTTATTACCAATTGTAGCCTATAACCACAGTTTTACTACAAATACCATGGTAACTATGGTTAGTGTAGCAAAACGTTGTTTTTACCATGGTTTAACTATAGTAACCATGTTTTTAGTTGTAACCACGGTTAATTTTCGTAAGGGATATTTTCATGTTATTTTATATCTTTTTATTTTACGGCATGTATTTGTGAAAATGATTAGCAAATATCTTTGCGAGAGAACGCAAAAGTTTTGCGAGGGAATGCAAAGTTTCTCGAGAGAATGCAAAAAAAAATTTCCTCCCACCCCGAATTTTTTTCCCACCACCATGTCCCTTTAGGGGCTCCGTATATACCAGTCTGGCGAGTAAACAAAAAAATTTACTAGCCATTGGCGATTCAATTGCCAAGGTGTTCGTAGAGGGCTGTGATTACCTTGCAATGATCTGTCATTAGTCCCGTCCCCCTGCACCGCAACCCAGTTCTGATGGGGCTTACAGTAACCCTCCTTCGCATCACAATCAAATAAATCTCACTCCCTGATATTCATATTATTATACACAATCCCTTAGGAAATTAGCAATGGTATTACAGTAAAAGTATAGTAGGCTAACCATGTTTTTTT